TGCACAATAAACAGCCCACTAGCTAGAGGCTAATCCATGGTCATTGAATCCTTTTGCTGAGTTATTTCTGTATGGGCTTGTCCACTATTTTTCTCCTTATCTTTTTGTCAGCAAAATAGGCGCTTTCAAACTGAAGTGGTATTGGTTTATGGAGAAATTTTTTCTGTGAAATCAATAAAGGCTTTTATTTTTTATTTTTTTTAAAACAAGATAGAAGGTATGAAATAGGACACATCACAACTTTAAAATTGGTTACTTTAGAGTTGTATGGAATCTCATATATATTATTTAAACGCAATAAAGGCTTTTATTTGAGATGCTCCAAGTTGTGTGCTCTTTGGTCAATGTTTTCATTAAGTCCCGAGTCACAAGAAACCCTACTTCTTTGTGTCTCCTTTAATCATGAAGTTATAGGATCATAAATATTCCTTCTCTCCTATATCCCCTATCTTTTAGAATAAAACTTCTACGGACAGAAAATCAAGTTAGACACATCCAAAGGCAAAGGCAAAGGCTTTGGTTCCCTAATTATATATATATATATATATATATAATATAAATAAAGTATTTGGGTCTTTGACCCAACTAATATCATAAATAACTATAATTTATAATTCACCCAAATTTTATCTTAAAAAATAACTCATGGAAATTGTTTATAGTTACAGTATGTTTTGTTAGAGGGAAACAAAAAGGTGGAGAGGAGAATGAAAAGATATTGTATCAATTATTCCATTTTTCTCTCTTTCTCTTGAATACATAAATAAATTAAAATAAAAAAATAAAACAAAGGATTTTCTTTCCATTCCCTCCTCTCTAATTTTTTTTAAACAAATAAAATAAATATCCTTTCTCTCTCCTCCCTTTACTTATAGTTCCCTCGATCTAAATATACAATTAAATAACAATAAATGAACTAGAAACTGATATTCCGTCTAATCCTTTCTCTCTCCTCCCTTTACTTATAGTTCCCTCGATCTAAATATACAATTAAATAACAATAAATGAACTAGAAACTGATATTCCGTCTATCCCATATTATTAGATGTTGGGTTTGTATAATTTGTGTCTGTAAAGTGTACAAGTTAAGATTTATTAATTACAGAATTTATAATTAATTTTGTATAAAATTTTCACATTAAATTTATATCTTTTTATGGATTTTGAGTATAAATATTATATTTTATTTTAATTAAATAT